CGTCATAGACGGAAAATATTCGGTTAACGCAACCTCTGGTGTAGATCCACCGCTTTGGGTGAAACTCAAGTACTGTATCTGGACATATGAAATGGCTTGCCTTCCCAAATGTGGCTACCACAGTCGTTTCTTTCAGGATGAATTGTAATAGTTTGATCCTCTGACTCTTCATTGTACCACAGTGGTTTAACTGAACCCCAATCTCTCAGCAAAAAGGTGGAAAATTGCCTTTCCCAAAACGTAGAATCATCACTTGATAGTCTATTCATCCCATCATGTACACAAATAATTTCCTTACCTTAGTTACCACTTTGTCCAAGTCCACCACCATGTTGTGGAGATTCTCCTCTGCTGCTAGAACCAGGGGGCGCACAGCAGCCACCTTCAGCCCCTTAGAGCTGTCAATCACCGCCTTCAGACTGTGCAAGGCTTCACTGTGGGGGAGACAGGGGGGGGAAGAGCTTCAGAAAACTGGTGCAAAATATAAAGGTGAGGAAGGGTGATGTAACCCTTCCCCGGATGCATCAGTGTTCACATGACTCGGCTCCAGGCGGCCAGCTTGGGTGTGCAGCTGAAAACGGTCCCACGTCTCATGGCTGTAATGACCATCGAAGCCCCGCTGGCCCCTGGGTTGTTGAATATTCATTCAAGAACAACAACAAACGATAACTACAATAGGACCAACCAAACGGTCAACAGAAAAAATATATCGGATCCCTCTTTGTCTTTCCACACAAGCCCATCACACGGACTGCTTTATCTCACACCACACCCATGTGATATTTGCCTGAAGTGACCAATTACGACTATGGGAAGTAAACAAATAATGATAATAGAAATAATAAGCAATGACAAAATAAGCATTTTTGCTTAGCAACGGCGTGTGGCCGCAAAGTATAGCTTAGCATTATAGGCTATGTTTATATGAGGGGTCAAAATCCCATGCTCATGAAATGCTCATATTTTTTTCTCTTCCCCACGCCCCAAAATAAAAAAATATACCAATTTTAGGAAAGGTAAGGAAGTTTGAGCAGTGTGGGTTTTATATTAACGGAGTTACGCATATTTCAAAACGTGAAGTGTATTAACGGCGGGTGCCTCGCTGTCAGAATGACAAAGATCCTCAGTGAAGCACAAGCACATGTTTCTCACTATATTCTAAGTACAACTTATTAAAAAGATCAGTTCAATGCAACTAATGTCGTCTTAGTGTTATTGCATGATGTTAAAATGTTTTGCCGTGAAATGTAATGTGTATGTGTTGAGGTACATGTCTTACTTGGCATTGGACAAGGCTGTTTCAGCAGCAGTCACAGCGCTGGTCCTCTCAGCTAGAGAAGCTTCCAGATCCTTCCACTGGGCGGACTTCTCCTCGGGAGGAACCTGGATTTAAGAAGAACGTTAATCACAACCATTCTGTTGGCAATAAAAGCGTCACAGCCCAGGATATGATGGTTGAATGTTGTGTAGTTGGGTGTATGGGATTTAAAGCCAATTACTCCTATGGAAATATCTGGGGATGACAATCTCACGATCCAATCAGAATCAATTCTTGAGTCAATAAATGGAGAGGGTGCACAGTCTGTGTGTCCAACCATTCACTCCTGTATTTATTCCACTCAAAAACAAACTGCCAGTAGTTACCCAAACCGGGCTTCTGGTCCAGTACGTTCATCCAACAGATGTCTCGCTAAATTAGCTTGTTGTTTTGTGAGTCGGCTGCTCAGCTCACAGACAGTTCTGGAGGGATTGCTCAGATTAATCTCTTCTTATTTTCCAATTACTAATCATTTGACATTGACATTGTTGTTTGGAATAATCAAGGAGGTGAGTGTCACAGTATGCTCTGTCTTATGTGTCACAAACACCAGCTGCTGTCATTTCTCTCCCTTTTGGCTGTGATCTGTTTGGCAGGGGCAGCGCTCTGCCTCTGCTGGTTCTTGTTTGGTTGGATGTGTCTGGGATGTGACGTTTGACCAACCCAGTTCAGATTTAACCACACTTGCTTCCACATTAACGTAGCTCTGCGTCATGGACGTATAAAGAGAACGTCGTATTACATCTACTCCAGCTTGGAAAAAACCGATATGGGCTGTTAATCATCCAGACCAAGTGAAACACGTTCCAGCGGTCTGCAGCAGGAGGAATAGGTTTTATCCTCTGACAGTGTTCAGTGTATATTTTTTAAATCCTCTGGGGCAGAGAGAGGAGCTGTGGATTATTGTTATTGATTAATGAATCAGTGTTTCTTAGGGTCAAAAACACTAAACTCACAACTTAAAATGAAAGCTTTTAGTTTATTTAATAAAAGAGCACTATATATATATTAATGCTGTCAAAATTATCGCGTTAACGGCGGTAATTAATTTTTTGAATGAATTGCGTTAAAATATTTAACGCATGTGCAGAATGGCCCGCCCCATACATCCCACCAGTGGCAGCGCCAGGGTATGGCTGGGGTAGGCTACACCCATACCAAGAAATGGCTTAGCCCCACCATGAAAAGTGATGTTAAAGTAAGCAAAATAAAGTCTGCCAACTCGCGCCGAGTAAATTGCACAGACTGCAGTTAGTAAGATTGATTTCAGTAGCCACTTGTCTCGAAATACCAAAGACTAGAAACGGTTTTGAAAACTTTTGTCACGTAGTGATCGTCTTCTCAATAGAACATCTTTGATAATGTCTTCTGGCCAATCAGAATCAAGATAACGGCGTGGTGTTGTTGCAGGAAGTCCCGACGGAGAATACTTTTGCTGTAGTACATCTCTATACACATCGATACAACATTAACGTAATGAATTAAGACCCCACGGTTTGATGATTGATAGGTGTGTGGGCTGTCTTTCATTTTGACACACAGAACAATGTTATAATAAACATACATACATACTGTATGTTAAATGGATATATCCGCCTTCTTTCATTTATCTTTCCATTCCCACAGCAATATACATGGTGGTTAATCATGATTAATTCATTTTTAAGTTGTGATTAATCTGATTAAAATGTCTAATCGTTTGACAGCCCTAATAAATATATAGAATTTCAGAATCAAACAAGTATGAGAGCACTCTCATATAACGTAACACAATCACAGACTGGATATAT